CCCATTGAGTTTAACTTGAAGTTCTTTTAGAATAGTACTAGCTTCAGGATCTAGCTGCAGAGAGACCATAGACAATGTTACTTCAGAGTTCTGAGAAAGCATGTTTTTGTTTCTCTTAACAAGCATGTTGCTTGTTTGAAGTTAACTTCACGAAGTACAAATTTACTTTTTTCTCTACTTTTTGTTTTATGTCTCTGAAATCAAATGCAAAAGTTTAGAAAATTATAAAGAAATCAGGAGGGTACTTACATATTTAAAAATTGATTGAAATGGCACAGCATGCATACATGTAAGAGCTGGATAGCAAAGCCACTGTCAGTTACAGCAATGGAATGCAAGGCATGACAAAATATCCTCCAGAACAGAAAATTTTATAATTTAGAAAACCTAACATGTTATACATTAGTGGAATATATGTGTTGTTTCAAAATGTATTTCAATATTTAATATTTTTGAAAATAAATAGGCAATTAAAAATAAAAATTTAGTTAAAAGTTAACTTTCAAGAATTGTGCTGTGCCTTGTTTGAAGATGTTTTCATATTTTCCCAACTATAGAATTAAAAGTAATAGGAAATTATCCAAGCACTGTCATGTTTCTCTGGGAATGACAGACCTGACTTCTGTTCCTGGATGCCAATTTGTAGCTCAGAGATTAAGATTCAGAGTTTTATATTTTATTTTTATTTTATTTTTCTCTAAGTATTCAAGTACTTATAGCTTGGGGCTAAGCTAGTAAGCAAATATGGGGTGAAAGAAGAACATCATTAGATGAAGATGACATTTTTGATGCCTGTTCTTACAGTGCAAACTTTACAAGCCAACTTTTCTTTTTATCTGACTTGCTCTTAAAATAATATTAATCAATATTACAAAATAACTTATAAATAAACACAAACAATACATAGGCACATCAATCTATTTACTTGGCAGAACTTATTCTCACAATTAAAATGAAGTATCAACACATACCTTACCAAGCATTTTAGAAAATTTTTTCCTGTTTGTTAATTATGTTTTTGCAAATTAGTGGTAAAATAAAAAAGCTTGTAATAGATGTATCAATCAGAGAGAAATTTGTGTGAATGGCAATCTAGAACATTCTCTGAAATTGAAATGTAAGTCAATCTTCCTTCCTTTGAGCCTTCAGAAATGTAGTTTCCTGCTATTGCCATCTATATTCCTTGCACAAGGTGCTCAACTATTGAAAAAGATGCGATAGAACCAACTTTTGGCAGTAAAACAAATTAAAGCATTACTTAGTATTAATAAAAGAATCTAAGAAGCATACCAAATCAATATAGAACCCAATATCAGTTTAAACCCCTGGGAGTCAGTCCAGGACCAAGAAGTGTCTCTATGAGTATACACTGGACATAAGTCCTGTAATCCTGGAAGAGCACTCTCTGATACTAAGAAATGGCTAGGAAGAAGTACTATTTATATACCTCAGCAGCTGAGTAGCTTTAGGTTGTATTGATGTGACTAAAAATATTGCAGTGAAAATCAAATATTGCATTTGACATCTGAGACTTTATTGATTATATCAAACCAATCCTTAAGGCCGCTTTTAACTCAAATCCAGGTAATTTTCAGGATCGGTTAGTTTCTGCCCTTCTATCAGAGCAATAGTGCTTCTTCTGGATTCTTTATATTTTTTTTCTGTCTCTATAATCTGATAGGCTCCTAGCTCTTGCCCACAGACACGCAGGCCACCATAACAAATAGAGACTTCTCTAAGAGTGGAAAAATTAAAATGTCCTGAATCTACTTTCCAGGAGTTCTATTCAGCTATAACCATTTGCAGTGATTAAGAAAGATAACACATACTTATTTTAAAAAGACCTAAGACTAATATGCATTTAAATACAATTAGCCTAACAAACTATAACTTTTAACCCTTCATCCAAAAGACATATGTAAACTGCCTGTTCTAATCCTAGGGAACCATGCAGTCTAAATGTTTTGATTTATTTTTCCATTTTTTTTAAATTGTGGTAAAACATATACACCATAAGGATTGCCATTTTAGGCATCTTTAAACATAAAATTGTGTGGAATTAATTACATTCACAATGCTATATAACTACTACCTCTATCTATTTTCACAACTTTTTCATCATTTTAAACATAAACTCTTTACCCATTAAGCAATAATTTATAATTATTCTTTCCCCCCTGTTTCTGATAACCTCTAATCTACTTCTGTCTCTGAAATTTTTTCTTTATCTTTTTTCTTAATTGACCCATGGTAATTGTACATATTCTTGTAGAGTACAGTGTGATCTGGGAACATTTATGTAGTGTGCCATGATCATATCAGGTATTTAGCATATTCATTACCTCAAACATCTGTCACCTCTTTGTGTTAGGAAAATTTAACATCCTCTCAAACAGATACTTGAAGTTATGCAGTAATTTATCGTTGACTGTAGTTTCCCTCTATTGCTATAGAATTGTAGAACTTACTCTTCCTTTCTCTATAATTTTGTATCCATGGTCCACTCTCTCCCCGCCTCCCCTCGGCCACCCCCTTACCAGTCTCTAGTAACCACTATTCTTCTCTACTTCTATGAGATCACCTTTTTTAGCTTCTGCATATGAATGAGATCATGCACTATTTCTCTTTCTTTGCCTGGCTTATTTCACTTAACATAATTTTCTCTAAGTTCATCCATGTTGCTGTGAATGACAGAATTTAATTTTTTTTCTGGCTGAGTAGTATTCTATTGTATATATATTACCTCTTTTCTTTATCCAATCATCCATTGATGGATATTTCAGTTGGTTCCAAATCTTGGCTATTAAGAATGGAGCCACAATAAATATGAGAGTTGCAATAAACATTTGAGTGCAGGTATTCCTTTGACTTGATATCCTTTGCTTTGGATATAAACCCAGTAGTGGAATTGTTGGATTGCTTTATCTGTAGTTGTTTGCAAAACCTCGTACTGTTTTCCATAAAGGCTGTACTAATTTACATTCCCACCAACAATGTATAAGAGTTCTCCTTTCTCTGCATCCTTGCCAGCATTTGTTCTTTTCTGCCTTTTTGATACAAGCCATACCAGCTGGGGTGAGATATCTCATGACGGTTTTGATTTGCATTTCTCTGATGATTAGTGATGTTGGGCATTTTATGAATATCTGTTGGCCATTTGTATGTCTTCTTTTGAGAAATGTCTATTCAGCTCCTTTGCTCATTTTTTAATTGGATTTTTTTTTTTTTTTTTTTTTTTTACTATTCAGTTGAGTTCTTTGTATACTCTGGGTTGAACATTTTTAATTATATTTTCTTGTTATTGCCTTAATACCAATTTTAACTTGATTTCACTTGGATAAAAATATCAGAGAAAAGGGAATGAGAGACAAATCCTTCCATATGGTTTTCTTCTGGCTCCCCAACCCTTGTGGACATAGGTGGAAGTTCTCCACCAACGTATCTACTACCTCCAAGGAAATGAGTTGGAAAATGGGGTTTTCTTCAGGAAATGAGGGTGCTTCTTATTTAAAATGTGTACTTGGTTTTTACATTAGTTTGATATACACAATGAGGTAGTTTGCTTACCTGTTTAGATAATGCATAAGGGCTTTCACGTCATACAAAAATGGTTACATAGATCACATGGTTGAAATTATGCTATTTTCCCATAAATTTATTTTAGTTCACCTTAGGTATTTTTTGAATAGACATTTCTTATCAAATAATTGGTTATTACTTGAATATCTGAAACTGTCAAACTATAGCAATTTAATCATTGGTTGACAGTTTCATTTCCTTGACAGACAGGTGTGTTTCTAAGTGGGTGCAGACAGAATGCCTCTGTCATGTAACCAGGCCAAGAAAAAAAATTTTTAAAAAGAGGAAAATTTATAGTTTCAGTTAAGTATTTAATGTTTATCTGATACAAATAATACCATTAAAATAGGCATAGCAATTCTGAGGCCAATATGTACAGCCCTTGCAAATTGCAGGTCTCTTGCTATAATGAAAATAACTGGCATAAATATTATATTCGTCTAATTACAAAACAATCTCTTTAGGCAGCAAAATGACCAATACTTGAGTTCTTTTGCATTTCATTATGTGCCCAAATGGAGGAAATTTTCTTTACTCTTATAAACTTTTTTTTTTTTTTTTCCCTTTTGTCTTTTTTCGTGACCGGCAACGGGATCGCAACCCTCGGTGTTGCGCCCGCTCCTCGCTCAGCCAGTGAGCAGCCAATCTGTACGTGGGATCCGAGCCCTCGGCGGGAGCGCCGCCACGCTCCCAAGCAGCGCACTGTAGCAGTGCGCCACCGGGCCGGCCCTCTTATAAACTTTCTAATGT